ACTTGGGAGGCTGAGGCAGGAGACTCACTTGAGCCCAGGAGTTGGAGGTTGCTGTGAGCATGATGCCATGGCACTCTACCCAGGGGGGATAGCTTGAGGCTCCGTCTCAAAAAAAAAAAACAAAAAGAAAAGCACATAAATATTAAATAGCTTTCAGAGATTTTGCACCTCTGATATCCCAGGGGAGATCTGTAATATGTATAAATTGGACTTTTTAAAGCTGAAAGGGGGCTTCAGTGAGCCTTCTAGCAATCCTCCCACCTTAGCCTCCCAGACTTCTAGTATTACAGGTATGAGCCACTGTGCCCACCCTGAGAATATCATCTTTTTAGAATTGCGAGTATCTTTTGAAAGCCCTTTTCAACCACAGGATGAATCAGGTGAAGGTTTAGCCCTTGTCTTAGGAAGGAATAGGTCCTCAAAAATTAAACATAGTATTACCCTATGGTTCAACAATAACACTTCTAAATGTAAGAATTGAAAGCGGGGACTCAGATACTTGTACACTTGTACACCATGTTCATAGCAGCAACCCAAATGTCTATGAGAGAATGATTGATGCTTGCGGCTGGGGAAGCAGAAAGAGTTAATGTTTCATGGGGACAGATTTGCAAGATGCAAAACTTCAGGAGATGGTGGTGGTGATGATTATACAACAAGGTGAATGCACTTAATGCCCCTGAACTGTGCACTTGAAATGGTTAAGATGGTAAAATTCTATATTATGTGTATTTTACTGTCATAAAAAAAACTACTGTAAAAGGAATGGGGATGGAAGACCTCCTGGAGGGGGGACAGAGGAATGACTCAAGTCAACACCTGCTTTTCTTCCTGTAAGCCCTACAAAAAAATGTCATCTCCAGCTCCAATTACCTCAAGCATTATAGCTGTCAGAATTGTATCCCCCCCAAAAAAAAACCCATGTGAAGGAGGGGCCTCGGAATGTGATTTTATTTAGAAACAGGATCTTTGCAGATGCCTTTAGTTAAAGATCTCCAGATGGGCTCAGCACCCGTAGCTCAGCAGCTAGGGTGCCAGCCACATACACCAGGGCTGGCAGGTTTGAACCCAGCCTGGGCCTGCCAAACAACAATGACAACTACAATCAAAAAATAGCTGGCCATTGTGGCAGGTGCCTGTAGTCCCAGTTACTTGGGAGGCTGAGGCAAGAAAGTCATTTAAGCCCAAGAGCCTGAGGTTGCTATGAGCTATGACACCACGGTACTCTACCGAGGGTGACATATAGGCAAAAGGCCTCTATGCCCTTGGCCAAAAAAGCTATTTGAGAAAGAACAGTGAAAAGACTTTGTGCAGGCATACTTGTGAGAAATAGAGGCAGAATCCCATATGGCCAGATTAGTTGCGGGCATAAAATACCTCTGACCTAAGGTCGGCCTGGTTGGTTGCAGGTGTAAAAACCCCCTGACTTAAGGCCCACATGGGAGCGGAGATTTGCAAACAAGTTTCTGTATGTCTTAGAAATGTCTTGACTATGCCTTGCCTAAAGATTAAAGTAACTGCCTCCAAACGGTGAGGCCAGTAGGGCAGGTATTCAATCTATCTTTCTCCCCCAGAGCCTCAGACTTCATCAGATAAGAACAAAGAAGTAATAGCTAACCGCGTGTTCTCCATTAAGTCATGTATGTTAGGAAGATTATGTTAGGATTATGTTAGATAAAGTAGTATCAATTAATCTGTACCTTATCCCGAGATAGTCACAAGATGTTTAGTCATGAGATGGATTATGGATTGTAATGAATATTAATGAAGTCATTGATGTACAGTGCATATGTGCAGAGCTGGCTATTTCAGCCAGGAGAAAATAAAGAAGCTTGCCACTCATCATGAGAGAGCGGTGGTCCCTGGCTATTTAAGCCAGGAGAAAATAAAGAAACTGGCCACACACCATGAGAGAGTGGTGACCCCCTTTATTTGCATACAATTTCAATTGCAGGTC